TGCTAATGAAACTTTAATACTCAATCAGAAAGAGAAAAAAGTCGACAATGACATTTTATTTGCTTGGCAGGGAGGTAGAAGCCATGATTTGTCATAGGAAATATCAGTCCAATACATAGATTCACGTTGCTTTATTTTAAAATATTAGGAATTAGTGATCAAAATACACGCATTATATATGCATCCCTTGGAAACTTAAACAAACTAATCTAGAGCATAGGGTTAATGGGCTTTTGAGATTTAAGTGGAAAATATTGGTGGAGTTGTCCTCATCGGTATCTAGCAAATGCTCAAATTTGAAAGTATCGTATACTGAACACTGAATAATTGTCTTTAGAAATATATACTTGAATGATATTGCTAACAAAAAAAAAAAAAAGACTTGAGATGGTATTTAATTAAGGTTGAAACTTGTTCACCCAATAGATAGTATAATTTACCAAATGGGTGTAACACATATGGTAGCGGTCTGGCCTCTTAAGCTGCATTATTCCAGGGTTCAATTCCTGGAAGTGTACATGAAAAAGCAATCATTTGGAAAAGGATAGTCTCTTAAATAGCACTCAAATTTTTTAAGGTATTAGTCTTACAACTGTTGAGTATGAGTATACATTAAGTAACCAAAAAAAATATATGGTATAATTTCCTGTAATATGCATATGCCTGCAGCCTGCCCTCGTCATTGCTCAAGTTTGTGTCAATTAATTGTTGTTTTTTACTGATTGAATGAGTGTTAACCTATCAAAATTTAGGATTTTATCATCTTTTTTATGAACAAAATATTATTTCAAAAAATTGGTTGCTCAGATGATCTAAACAGTCTGGTAATCACAGTAATATGAATGAAAATAATTATCACTTTCTTTTACAACGATAACAATAAATAACAATTGAAATGGGCTACAATGATGTCAACTTTAGTACAATACTATATATACTCCCTCACTCTATAGTTTTTATTATAAGATGCCTTTTAGAAGGATTATTTGGTCCTTAACATAAGATATTTGATAAGATATTAATTAAATTTTTTTAAATATTACATATATTTAAACTTATTTAATATGAGAGAGAATGTAATATAAATTTTAAATTTTTTTATTTAAACAAAGATAAAATTGGAATTTTATTTTATTTTTAAACAAAATTAATAACTTAATTATCTCTTTTGATTCCAATGAAGTAGTTCACTATAAAAAAAAAAGTGAATCAGTGACAGAATAAATTTCTATCGCTAATCTGTCACTAAATCAGTGATGAAATGTTCCATTGCTAAAATTCTATCATTAATCCATTAGAAATAATTTAGCAAAAAAATTTACTCACTAACAATTTTGTCACTAATTTTCAGGATATCTTATTTCAATTTAGTGACGGAATGTGTAGTGAAAAATTCCATCACAAAGATTTTTGTTATAATTTCATCACAAATTATTTTAAAATTTATTTTATTATTTAAAATATATATTTATGTTTAATTTATTTAATAATTTATTATTATACTATAAATAGATAATTTAAAATGTTTTACTCTTTTAAATTATTTGTATAATTATAATAATAATTTAAATTGTATACTTAATTATTCTTATTTTAAAATAAAAATAAAAATAAAAATTATTAAATAAAAATTTAAAAAATTATATATTACATAGATACAAATTATAATATAATATATAATGATAATAAAATATTTTTAATTTAATATTAAATTTACTATCAAAAAATTTTTTAAAAATAAATTATAATATAAATAATTATTATAGATAAATTAATGTTACCATATTAATAAATAAATATAATGTTAAATAAGTAAGTAAATTTAAATAATATATTTATTAATATGTGTGTGTGTGGGGTTAAATATTATATATTTAATTTATCAATTAAGATTAAAGATTTTTTCAGCTCAATTGACAATAATATAGATGCAAATGCATTAAGTGTGTAAGGTTGTGAGTTTGAGTTTAGCTAAGACACAATTGAAGATAATAATATTTGACATGACAATGACAAGTGATGTGACAGTGAGGTGGCAATGATGTGCCTGTAAAGTGACACTGATCCATTGGGTGATAAGGTAGCATTAGTTCATTGGGTGATGTGACAATGATATTTTGGTCAACTTAAAAATTAGTGATGGAATAAATCTATTGAAAAATGTGTGACATATTAGTGACGGAATACATTCTGGCCAAAATCAGAATAGCTTATCCTTATTTAATAATATAAAATTGTTGTCACTATTATCTTGCTAGTTAGTGATGAAATGCAATTCATTTACTAATTCCGTCGCTAATTAGCAATAGGATTGCAAATTTCATCTCCAATAAGTTAGCAATGGTATTTTTATCAACAAAAATATTTTATTGTTAACTTGTTTAGTGACATAATTTTCACTTATTAGTGACGGAAGATTTTAGTGCTAATCAACTGCTTTTTGGTAGTGGTTAGAAATGGCTTATAATACTCCCTCTGTTTTTATTTATAAGATAAGCTACCACTTTTAGTTTGTTTTTTATATAAGCAAAATCACATTTTTCAATAGACATTTATTATAAACTTTTTAAATTATTCCTCACAATTTTATCATTCATAATCATAAGAAACAATTAATGAAGGCTTGATTAGCACAATTAATAAAGGACTTTTTAAATTATTTCTCATAATTTTATCATTTATAATTATAAGAAACAACTAATGAAGGCTTAATTAGCACAATTAATAAAGGATATTGTAGTCCAATCTTTTTTATTTTTAAACATAATTAATATAGTTAACTGATTTTTTTAACCATGTGATAGAATTTTGTTCTCCTACAAATAAAAAACGGAGGGAGTATAGACCAAAGAGAGCGCGCGCGCGCGTAGGAGTAAGTCCCAATGAGCAATAATACAATTGAGGAAAAATTAAAGAAATAAGAGATTGAGAATGATAGCATTAAAAGCTATTGTCTCAGTATTGGGGGTTTCAATGCAAATTCGAGATATTTCAGTTGGCCAAAATAAAATCTGAGAGAGAGAGAGAGAGAGAGAGAGAGAGGAATTATCAGAGAAATGGCTTAATTTATATGGAAGTTCAGTGAGCTCGTGAGCGAGGAACTTGTTCCCATGCAAATAATAATACTCTTGGTTGTCAACAATTACAATTATAAATCATATTATAATCATAACTAATATATAAAACCCAGTAGACAACCAACCCCAATACTCTGGAATTTCTCTTCAGCAATCTCTGATTCTCTACATATAATTACAATACTTCGAATTATTATCACGCTAAGAATTCTCACGCAAGTTCACGATGATGATCAGAAATAATATCCCTTTATCCCCTCCTCACTCTACAGTCTATATAATCAATGAGAATATAGTAAATGGTCCTATTCTATTCTACAACCTCTAAAATGAATCCAGAAACGACACTTTCAACCCATGTGCATCTGCAATACTTCACTGATACCTCTCTGTATATAACTGACCAACCCAACTCACAACCCTAAAACATGACAAAGCTCAGCCAATCACCTTTATATGCCTCTTACACAGATTTAGCATCTCCTTTCCTTTTTATATACCTTTCTTTTTCCTTCTTCCTTTCACTTTCACTTGTTGCGAAAAACATTATTAGAAATTACAAAATAGAAATGAGACCCCCTCAAATCATTAAAGCCACCTTCATTCTTTGGCCCATGTAAGGGAATTTAGTTGTATGTTAAGAGCCAAGACTTAAATTCTTGGATGTGAAAGCTCTGCTTCAGTGAGCACAAATCCTATTTAAAGTCAAAGGGTGTCCAACCATATTGCCATCCAAGGAATTTATCGGAAGGAAGTAACCAGAATGATCGCCTCCTGTCCTGCAGCAATTTAAGCAGCAGCAATTGACTACCTAAGGCTAGGGTTTTATAGGAGGGGAATCAGAGCTCACGCTTCAATATTATTCTTTGTAATTAATGATTTTAACTTGAAGGTATATGTATAGTTGTTCACATTAACCAACGTACGTAAACTTTTCCTTTTAGAATATTTAATTGTCTCTAAAGAAACAAACTGAAGTTACTAAAAAGTGGTATCTCTTTTGCCAAGAGAGAATTATCCTTTTAGATTAATTTAGTGTTTTGTTACTAAGCAATTAGTTTGTACTTTGTGTAGTGTATACCTAATGCATTCAAATATATACAGAAGAAAAAACAAAAGCTGCGGAGATAACGCCTGAGTCATGATGGGATAATATTCTCTTTGGTGATTATAAAAATATGAAATTATGATAATGAATTTTTAATTGGGGTTGATTCCGGAGTAGGTGGCAACTTTTGGAGCGATTTAGAAGGGAGAGGAAAAAGGTGTGAGAGAGAAGGGAAGCTTATGGATTTATGTGGGAGGTAAAGATATAAAAGCTAACTGCAACAGATCTGATGATAATAATACAAAGGAAAAGGGAATCAATGTTGGGATGTATCTGACTTTATGTGACTTTGAGAAGCTAAATCTGAGGGTTTTATGGGATAGTTTAGTAGTAATGTTTGATGAGAATGTCAGTGAGGTTCTGAATAGGAAAAAGTGCTCACCATATTCCATGCATTTTAATTAGTCAGTTTAATTCACCCCTTAATTAAACCTCACACATGCTCTAATCTCAATATTAAACCAACAATATTACTCACATGGACTCTCTCTCTCTCTCTCTCTCTCTCTCTCTCTCATGAGTAAAATAATTTATTTACTGATCCTCAAAACAACCTCATCAATATCAGACGAATAATTTCTTTGAAGACGAAATGCGTTTAATGAATAATCTTACTTTTACTATGTCTAAAAGGACAATCAATCATTAAAATGATAGCCAACAAAATATTCGGAAGAACAAATTAAATTGATATCTCACTTCATTCTCAAACTTAAAAACACTTGAAGTTGAGACTTCGAATACAGCATCTAGTTGCCTGCATGTTTTTATTATATATATATATATATATATATGTCCTCTTGAGTTAATTTAGAAAGCCTTGTTTTGATAATGATAAAAACACAAAAGAAAATTATATTAGAAACCCTAAACTGATCAGATGTATGTGGCAATATCATTTAAAAATTTCATACTTTCAGGAGGAGACAAGCTGGATTAATATGCTGTGAATCAAAAGTGAACGTTATTGGATTCATAGTCTCTCACTTACATGATATTTCTAGGAAGAATCGATATTATTGGAACCATCAAGTACAATGTCAAGTATAATCTGTTAGTCGAAACAAGCCGAGAGATCATTAATTGGGCCACTCTATTTATGAAGTTTAGAAGCTTGTCTATATATAACTGCAATATTGATATGATCACAACCTGCAGACATATATCTAAGGTCTTCATCAGGACTGATCCAATCACACTTGAAGAAAATGAAAGCTTCACTTTCAGGAATGAAAAGAAGCAAATCAAACAACCAACAAGAATGCACATAAAAGAGATGAAACAGCAAAAAAAAAAAAAGTATATTATCAGGAGGGAGAGACTTTAATTGTGTATATATATGCTACTATACCTTGTGCTTGCTTTGACCCAGCCTTAGCTCCAGATCTAGCTCTTCTTCTTTGGAGCTAGGGCTAAATTCAACTGAAGAATTTAAATTTGGGAAGAGAGGAAGAATCGACGAAGATTCCGAAGTTCTCCTCTTCTTGCAACCAATAGCTTCTTCCTTTGTCTCAATACCTCTACACACGACCAAATTTAAACTAAAAGCCAAATCAGTCTTTCCATTATCCTCACACCTCCAATCCAATACCTCTGTGATCTTCTCAGCTTCAGCTTCAGCGAAGTTTGAACAGTTCGATTTTGAAGAAGAATAGAGAGGAGAATAATTCGAAGCAGCAGCTTCATGTGCTTGCTGGGGAATAACAGAAGAAGAATTATAAGCCGGGACCATCATGGTTCCCTCAATGATTGACGATGGTGGTAAAGCCTTATCAGTAGAAGGTGAAGCAACAAGAACAGAATTAGGTTGATAAGAATTAGGGTTAGTAGCAGAACTATTATGACACGGGTACAGGAAACCCATAAAGGAAGAAGGATTTGGAATTTGAAGTTCACTGTTTTGGGGGCTTGAAGGTTGCTTGAGTCTCGCTCTATCCCTTCTATGAACATTCATGTGGCCTCCTAGAGCTTGTGCTGATCTGAACTCTCTTCTGCAGAAGCTGCAAGTGTATGATCTGGGTGGCCATATGCATCCACCAAGAGGGCCAGAAGCATCTTCTGCGAAAGCTTGCTCTTCCCATGAAGAATCATCATAAGAAGAATAAGAGGGTTTCGTGGTTGGTGAAGAAGTGACGATGAGATTAGAAGAGCTCACAGAGTACTTCCTCTTGGTCCACATCCAGAATTGACCTTGCTCCATTATTCCTCCAGAGACGAGAAGGATAATAATCAAAGGAAGTAGAATAATATTGATGATGGAATTTTCCTACATCAAAGTCAGGAATTTAAAGCTATATACGAATGCATAGTCTAAGATATAGATATATAGATGGCTTAGGAGGAATTTTTTGTATGGGGAAGGTGAAGTGGTGGGTACTCTAACTTGTCTGTCGCATCAGAGTATAGCTGACTATTTTGGGGCTTTCTGGTTGGCTTGAGAACACACAGTTTCAATTAATACTCTAACATATAGTGGCTGCTTTCTCCATTTTCCCTGCAAATTTTCCTTCGTGAGAGAGAAGCAAAAGTAACTCAAGAAAAGACAAAAAAATTAAGAATATTTTTCTCCTTGGTTCATTTAACTTTGATTGAGGTTAAAACTTGAATCTTTTCCGGCATGGGAACGGAATATTCATTTTTATAGCTCGATGGAACTTATATATATATATATATATATTTCACATATCATGACAAGTATCTAAGCAAGTGCAATTTTAGTAAAGTGGTGTCTGATAAAAATGGTTTAGAAAATTAGTGACGGATGAGACTTAAAATGTGACATGGCCACATCGTACAGACTTACCAGTGAACAAATCCGACTGATTTCTCCAGAGAGAGATCCAGCACAGAGGGGTCGTTTTGGTTTTAATTGTCCAGAAACAGATGGATCGACCAGTCTTTCAAATTATATTACAACAACCAATATTTTTAAATTTTCCCCGGACAGATAAGCATTTTTTTTAAAAAAAAAATTCTGGGATTCAATTTCGCATATTTTAAATGTTCTTCATGAATCTAAGTGGGATATTGGAACTTATTGGTAAATTATTATTACAAGAATTCCCAAACACACCTACACATAGAGACGTAGTTAATTATTTCTATTAAAAAAATATGATTAATTATTACTTCTTCGGAATCACAACACAATACATTGATAATTATTTTGCGATTTTACAAAAAGTGGGGTGAAACCTTAATTTCTTTAAAAAATTTATATCCTTTCAATTATGCCCTTAAATTTATATCCTTTCAATTTCTTTAAATAATAATAATTAAAATTCTACGCATAATTTTTCAAGAAGAATAATAGATGAATTAGAGGTATAAAAACGATCTAATATTTTATATTTTTGATCAAGCAAAGTTTTTATATGTCATATAATGTGGTACCAATGGAGTATGGAACTTGAGGATATATACAATTATGGGCTAAGCATCCATTAATAAGTGCATTTGTATTTGTGAAATGCTTTAATTTTTCTTCATATGATAATTTCAATATCCTTTATTTTGTCATGAGCGGGGTTTTAAAATATACATGATCAGACCTTGTTTTTAATTAACCTCGTCTTGACATTTTTTAGGTCTTGGTAGTACCAATGTTTAATAGATATAAATAAACACACACATTAATATTTCATTCAGCCGTAGTGGATAAATGTATGTATTCAACGGGGAAAAATGACCTTATTCGATCTTCTACGATCTTCTTAATTTAATTAGTCCTCATCACAACCACATTTTCTGGCTTGTTACATAAAAAATTATTAAAGCGAGAACTATAAAAATGAGTTTATAAAATCATTTGCGTGCGTGCGTGTGTAATCTAACGTTTATACTGCGGCTGATCTATTATCCATCACAATAAGCTAAACACGCTTTCTCGGCGAGTTTATAGTTTTCACACTCGTACAAAAAGTAAAAATTGTATCTTAACCCCCAAAAAACTTTTGTTTATAATGTTCAGGCCAGAAAACTTCTGTTTGTAAAGCCAGAAAGAGGTGCGTGTGTAAGTAGAAGTACATGCTTTATTAAAAATATTAATATTAATATTAATTAGTTCATAATTTTTGTAAATTACTTATGGGAATTGGTTTTTCCCGTAAATTAGATAATCAAGGAATTGAACTAACTTATAACCTGATTCACCACTTCAATGAATTCATCATGTAATCCAACTCAGATTCGGACAACTACAATTTGCGCCTGTTTATGCATGGGAGATAATATTACTAGTTATCTCCTGAAAAATTCATATGAAACTATAAAAATATTTATATTATATATGATTACTCAAAGCTATCAATAAGTTTCATTTTGGAAGCTACTTAATTTTTTCTATTTGTTGTATTGTTAGGGAGAAATATTCGATGCATGCATCTCTCTCAATCATTTTGGATTAATTAGCCATATATATAGTCTGTCAAAATAATTGTTTGATAGCAAATAATAATAATAATACATGAGAGTACAGTGGCACATATTGTAAAGAAAAAATAAATTAATTAAAAAAACAAGACTAACAAGGCTGGATATTATATTTTTCCTTTTTTAAAAAAAGTAAGAGTTAGGGTGTGAAAATGTACCCCTGACTTTTGAAAAAAGTACAAGTAAGATAGATAAATTTTGTCACTTTAGATTTTCTATTTTTTATATTTTATATATCTAGAATAAATAAAAATATTTAAATTTAAAAACTAATTAGATAAGTAATATTCTGGTGATCAAGAAAAGATATAAAAAGTATATTTATATAAAAGACAATTTCAACTAATTCAATATAATTCTGACAAAAAAACCAATTCAATATATTTTTTTAAAAATAAAGCATTTATATTTTCGTTTTATATTATATATGTACATACATACTCCCTCCGTTTAAAATATAAAATATTTTTAATCAAATTTTATCACTTAATAAAGTAGTTATTTACTTTTCAACTAACCCTATCTTTTCATATTTACCTCTATTAAATACCCTACAATAAATATAAAGTCATTATCATTAGGGGCACTTTTAAAAAAAAGACAATAATTATATCTCGAAAGACTATAAATATTTTATATTTTTAAATATACAACTCCTCAAAAAATGTTTTACATTTTTAAATAGAGGAAGCATATATATTGCTTGTATCTTGAACTGGGATATTAAAATTGGACTGTCTAATCTAGTTTATCTTATTTTAGTACTTTATAATGATTTTATTAGAATGTAAATAAAACTTTTTAAATAATTTTCTAACTATTATTTTTTTAAAAAAATAAAATTTAACTTGAAAATAAAAAATAAAAAACAAATCTAGCCCATATATAACTAAATTTGGACTGTTCATATTTCAGTTCATTAATGAGCATAATGTATTCGTCTTTGAGACGATGACCACACAATGCCCACAGATAATTAATATCTATATAATTTTTACAACACTTTGCTATAATATTTTTCATTTAATGATATTATAACTGTATGGAGGAACTTCTATTCAAAGATCAATTATATGTTATATGCTTCAATTAAAAAAATAACAAATGATTAAAATTTTACGAAGTGAAGTGAACTGGAATTTTGTGTCCCTCGTTTTTCTTGATTGCCACAAAAAAAAATGTTAGCCAAAAAAATGAGGATCAAATATTTCCCTTCCCTGTCAAATGTATATATAATACAAGTGTTAAAATGCATAAAACAGTTCTAAACTCTGAAGCAGTTGCATATAATTTTTCTTAATTTTTAATTTTATTTTTCAAAGCCCTCTAATGTCATTTAATTAAAAAATATTATTAAACAAAGTATTATATAATAAAACCATGACTAATCAATTTTTTATATTTTTTTGAATAGTTCAAATATTGATAGCCAAACAAAAATGTTATTATCACCATATAAAATTTTAAATATTTACTTTTGTATTAGTTTTATTCATTTTTTTATTATTAATGGTGCAACGTTTTCTTATATTAAAGGATAAATTAATCGCATCTATTGCTGGTAAAAAAAAAGATAAATTAATCTAGCCTAGTAATATTTAAAATTTTAAATATTTTAATCATGTGCATTACATTAATATAATCTAAAAATATATATAAAAATTTATCCTTTAAAACAATTAAAGTATGCATCATTGATAACAAAAAAGCATGAATAAAACTAATGCAAATGTAAATATTTAAAATTTTATATAATGATAACAATATTATTTTGGCTATTAATGCTTCAACTATTCAGAAAATATAAAAATTGATTATAAATAGTAATATTTTTATTTAATAATATTTTTTAGTTAAATGGCATTTTAACCCTTATAAAAAAATTAATTATAGGTGGGAGATATATACAACCACCTCAAAGTTTAGAAAAAATTTATGCATTTTAACTTAATACGAAAAGCTTCTTTACCTAGCAATAAAGTTACCTTCTAACCATTTTTTTTTCAACTTTTCATCGAGATGATGCATACTAATTAACGGCTTTTCATTTTCTGGGAGAATGACAATAAAGGATCAAAAAATTAAATTAAATTTAAATAAACACCAAAAGATTTGAAAATTTAAAATAAGGACCACAAATGTCCTTTTGTAAATTGGTCTAAAATTTTTCTACGATCTCATTGATTTAATTTCTTGATATAAATTGATTTAATTTCTTGATATAAAACCATAAAAATAAGAAATTTGCAAATGAAATTTAATTTGCTAAAAAGGAAAACCTTGTCAAACATATCACCACCAGGCTACTTCCAGTGATTTGGTATTCATGTACCCTTATTTTCAACTTCGACAAGATTTTGCAAATAAGATTCGCTACGTTTATGAATCAAAACAATTTCTAAGTAATGATAAGTTTTTTCTTTATAAATTAGTGTATTTAATTTCCTTGCAAATTTTTGTTTTGCGGGTTACAAATCATGAAATGCGAGTGACAAAATTTTATACCATATACCAATTCAGTAAAGGACCTTGGATTCTTATTTAAAATTTTCAAATATTTTTATCCTTATTTAAATTTAATTCAATCTTTTGATCTTTCATAGTCATTCATTCCCCCTTTCTTTTAATTTGCCCCCATTTTTTCAACTTGAGAAAGAAACTCTTGAAAATTCTAATTGGACTCAAGTTTTTGTATTCCATATGCCGTCCAACAAGAGGCAAGAAGTGAAGTTTCTGAGACTTTGAATTGAAATGATATCTGCATCAACAAGAACAATTGGAAGATGAAGAATATATGGGGCCACATAGTCTTGGGTCGGTCATAATCAAATTGCGTGGTTCATAATTTTAATTTATTTAACTCGCTTAATTTCCCCCTTTCAATTGAACATTTATATTCTTGTACTATATCAAACTTAGCTTTTTGCTTATAAAATTTCATCAAATTGACCGATTATATCCTCATTATTTTAAG